CTTCCATAGTGAGTGAGCAAAAGTCTTTGCTACCTGTAGGGAGAGACAGGGGAAGGAAGGAAAGAAGGAAGAAAGGAGTGGGGGGTGGTCTGGGCTGGGAGCAGCTTCTCTACCCATCTGCCAGCTCATACACATGGGCAGACACACATACACAGACACGCGCTGCATGCTGGCCAAGGAACCTGGCTGACAGTGGAGAAGGGAGAGCAGGAAGCTGCAGGAGGCTGAGCCTGCCCAGGGTGCAGGCATTGTGAGAGGAGCACAGTCAGGCTCCAGACATGCCTTCCACAGATAGCACACAAGGAAATATTAACACAGCTTCGTGCTCAAACGCAACCATAATTATAAAAATAGACCCTGTACAGGGAACAGGTGGTGGTTCCCTTCCTCATGGGACATTTGGGATCGAGGAAGATAGGGAGGGCTAGAGGATTCTCCAGGCTTGGGTGCCCAAGTAGTCCTTGTGATGGAGCAGAAAGAGAGACATAGTCAGAGAGAGAGAGCATGTCAGTGATAGAGACTCTGGAATATGTGTGGGGGGACAGAAGTCACAGCCCCCCATCCTCGATGGAGGGATGCTGACTACTTACCTAGGCTCTCTCAGCAGGGCTGTCTTGAAATCCAGGAAGGGGGCTGAAGCTGTCTCACTCAGGATAAATCACAGCCCAGGCCACATTGTGGGACCCTCAGTGATCTGGCAGCCAGTGACACTCCTGCTTCTGTTGCCGTGGATACAGCCGGGCTGGTCTAAATCGAAGACATCAGGGGAAGCAGGCACTGGAGGAGTGCACTGGGCAGGGCTGGGGGTGATGGGGAACACCAGGTGGGCAGCACACAGCCTTGAGGTGCCCGGCTAGCTGGCAAGTGGGGGTCCGGGCAGGTGCTTCCCCAACTACACACTCCCTCCCCCATCTTCATGCCTCCGCCAAGCTGGGAGGGGGGCCAACACTGGCCCCTGCTACCCGTCTGCCCGTCTGCCCGCCTGGCTGCCGGTCTCCCCCTTCCCCCTTCCTGTCTGCCTGCTGGCCGCGCCTTTTGTCCTCAGAAGACACGGTCCCTGTGGGGCCTCTGCCAAGCCTCTAGCAGATGCTCAGGGTCCCGGGCTCCTCCCTGGAAGCACCCGGGCCATGGCCTGGGAGAGCCCCAGGTTGGGGGAGCTCTCATCCAGGCTCAGCCCGCTCCCCAGGCCTTCAGGGATGGGGAAGAGGTGCAGGTCCACAGCCAGAGGCAGCAGCAGAGGTGGAGTTGAGAAGGGGATGGACGCCAGAAAGAGGGGGTGGGGTGGAGAGAGAGGCTGGCCTGATAGCTGTGTCCTGGGTTTTAGATCCGGGTTGAGGAGGGTGGCTCAGAGCATCCGAGGGGGGTCCTGATGCAAAACAGGGGCACTATGAGCCTGCCGGAGGGACCCTCCAGGCCTGGGAACCACCCCAGCTCACACAAATGTAGGTCCCAAGATGCTGGGGACTCCCAACCTGGATAGGGCATTGGCGGGGAGCCCAGGGCACTAAGCTGGACCCCATCTGGCCTGTCCGTCCCCCCTCTCCTCGATTTGCACGGTCCCTGCCTCAGGGGCGGGCGGAGGAGGGAGGGAGGCAGGGAGGGAGAGGGAGGGAAGGAGGGAGGCAGAACTGGCAGGGAGACTCCCAGCCACCAGCCTGGTCCTCCCTGGGGTGGGGCAGGGAGGGAGGGCTGGGGAGTCCGGGGAGCAGCCGGCTGGCTGGCTGGCCGACTGGGTGGGGATGGCTGGCGAGGTGGCTGTGCTGCCAGGACAATAGCTGGCTGGGGAATTCAGACTCCAGTCTTTCTGAGATGCTGAAGAGAGGCACGCATGGAGGTGTGGAGAGGTAGCTAAGAGGCCGCTCAGAGAACAACTCAACACGGGCTACAAAGTTCAGAGGAGGCAGGGGTAGAAGGGATCTGTGGTTGGGGTCAGGGCAGAAAGGTCTGTGGAAGTTTCTCAAAAGCTTTCATATGGGAGGGATGCTTAAAGCTCTGAGAGGTAGGACAGACAATCTTATTTAGAATGGGTTCTATGGGCACTTTCCCAGGAAGGCCTGCAGGTGGGCAGGTGTGGGGGGAGGGCGGGGCTGGGAGCGCTGCCCATCTCTGAACAACCCTTCTCAGGACGTCATCTCCTGTGCCACCCCTACTTTCTCTGGGCCAGTAGACAGACACGCACCCATGACAGCAGAATGGGACAGGTGAGGAGGAAGCCTTGTAGTCAGAGGTTTGAAGGCAAGGAAAAAAATATTTCTGTCCTGAATAGATTAAATTGAGACCAAATGATGCTATAGTGGTTCCCCTAATTTATAGCATTTAAGAATTCCAGTTCTCTTCATATATGCAATTTTCTTCTATTTCTCTTCTTCCCTCATTCACTGGTTCACTCGTTTATTAAACATGGCTGTATGCTAGGTTCAGGGTGCTTGTGTGTGCTCAGTTGTGTCCAACTCTTTGCGACGCCATGGACTGTAATTCGCCAGTCTCCTCTGTCCATGGCACTCTCCAGGCAAGAATACCAGAGTGGGTTCAGGTGAATCAGATTTGCTCTCTGCCCTTAGGAAACACTTGCTCCATTAGCAAGTTGTGGTCCTGCAATCCACCTGCATCTAAAACCTCGTAAAGTCTGTGAAATGTGGATCCCCAGGTACACCTACCCAAAATACTAATTTAGGAGGTTTGAAATGAAGCTCCAACATGTGTATTTTGACACAGCCCTCAGGTGGTTATTGTTACGTTTGGGCATCATGTTTTGGAGAGGGAAGAAAACCCATGAGTCAAATATAAAGTCACAATGGAAATTAGAAAATATTTTGAACTTAGTGATAATGAAAATATTATATCTGAAATTCTGTGGGATGCTGCTAAGGCTATGCTTAGAGAGAAATTTATAGCCTTAAACATATATATTTTTTAAAAGGCTGAAAATTCATCTCATGGTATGCTTACCAAAAGGCATATACAATAATGTGCATTTCATAAAGGCAGTATTTTTAATAGTTCAAACTCGAAACAACCTAAATGTCATTAAGAATGATAAATAAATTGTCTTATATTCACATGATTCAATACTACACATTGATGGGAAGAAATGTCCCACAACCACATACAACAATATGGATGGTGTGCGTATGTGTGAGTGCTCACGCTCAGTTGTGCCTAACTCTTGGATTGTAATCTGCCAGGCTCCTCTGTTCATGGAATTTTCCAGGCCAGGATACTGGAGTGGGTTGCCATTTCCTACTCCAGGGGATCTTCCCAACCCAGGGATTGAACTCGTATCTCTTGTGTCGCCTTCATTGGCAGGCAGATTCTTTACCACTGAGCCACCTGGGAAGCCCACAACAATATGGATAGATTCTGCAAACATTATGCTGAGGAGAATAAACCAGACACAAAGAGCACATGTGCTTTTTGTTCTATTTATATAAAGTTTTAAAGCAGGTGAAACTCATCTATGGTGCTAGAAGTCAGAATCTTGATTGCCTTTGGGCTCTGAGTAGGAGATCCAAGGAGACTTTTGTAGGTGCTGAGAAGGTTCTATGTCTTTATTTCCCTGTTGATTACATGGATTGTTACTTAGTAACAATTCATTGAAAGCTGTATATTTATGCCTCTAGTACTTTTCTTTTTTTAAATTTTTTTTCATTTATTTTTATTAGTTGGAGGCTAATTACTTTACAATATTGTAGTGGTTTTTGTCATACACGGACATGAATCAGCGATGGATTTACCTGTATTCCCCATCCTGATCCCTATAGTACTTTTCTTTATGTGTGTTATATATTTCAATTTTTTAAAAAGTTTTTAAAAATGAAAAACTAAACCTAGCAGTCAGGATGTTTCATCATAATGGGAGACAAAGGTGGGAATTGGGAGCTGTGGGAGAGGGGCAGTGTGGGGAGGGGTGGTTGATAGCCAGAATAAGTGTGGGAGAAGTAGAAGTGAATTGGAAGAAGTTTGAGAGCCAACACAGTGTGGTGGCTAAGATCACTGACTCTGGTTCCAGACTGCTGGGGTTTAAATCTGTGCCTCTTAACCTTGCTTGCACCTCAAGTTCCTTATCTGTTAAACGAGGTAGTAATAGTGCTTACAAAATAAGGTTGTGAAGATAAATGAGATACTATTTGTAGAGTGTTCATAATAAAGTCAAGACATAAAATCATTGATAGTGCCATGCACATCTTGATTAAATTAAAATGCTGCCTAGGCGAGTAAAAAAGCCTGTACAAAGGCTTGAGGGTTCCAGGAGGCAAGATGCATTTGAAGCATGGCAGAAACAATTTGTTGTGGCCTTAGGTGGAGGATGGTCCTCCGGCACAGGCCAGATCCTGAATGCCACACTAAGGCTCTTAGACCTTCTCTTGATCACAGAGATATTGACCTGGGCTTCTGCTATGTTGATTTGCCATCGTTGACCTCCAAGTCATACCTTTTAAGGATCTCAGGAGAAAGGATTGTTCTGTTGAGGTCATGGGAGATGGCAAGGAACCATGATGAGGAAATAAGGGTTTGAAAGGAGGGTGGGAGAGGTCAGCTGGACTTAAACCCGACACCCTACACTCCACCCTGAAGTAACTTTCCTCCCTTAGCAAGGGGGAGAAAAAGTTCTCCAAAAAAGGCATGTGCCCTATGAGATAAGCACACAACATCCAACAGGCAGAGCTGCAGTGGGAGGAGGCAGGGGAAACTGTGTCATATACTAGCCACAGTCCTCCATTTTTAATCAACTCCAACATTCCAGGAATGGGAGAACCCTAGCTGCCTTCTGCCTGTGCCCTTCTGTTTACACTCCCTGAGCAGGTGAGGAGATAAGCACGTTTTCGAGGATTTTAAAAGTTCCTCATTTCTTCCCATTCCTTTCTCTGAAATAACAGTACTCCACTTCCAGGTGGGCAAAAGCACCTTAGTGGATTTCTGTGGCCTGCTTAACAAGTCCAGGTTACCTTGAATTTGGAGAAAGAGTGATATGTTTTACCATTCAATCATGATTTTAAAAATTAGAAAACTAAGATCACGGCATCTGGGCCCATCACTTCATGGCAAATAGATGGGGAAACAGTGGAAACAATGGCTGTCTTTATTTCTATGGGCTCCAGAATCACTGCAGATGGTGATTGCAGCCATGAAATTAAAAGATGCTTACTCCTTGGAAGGAAAATTATGACCAACCTAGACAGCATATTAAAAAGCAGAGACATTACTTTGCCAACAAAGGTCCGTCTAGTCAAGGCTATGGTTTTTCCAGTGGTCATGTATGGATGTGAGAGTAGGACTATAAAGAAAGCTGAGCACTGAAGAATTGATGTTTTTGAACTGTGCTGTTGGAGAAGGCTCTTGAGAGTCCCTCGGACTGCAAGGAGAGCCAACCAGTCCATCCTAAAGGAGATCAGTCCTGGGTGTTCATTGGAAGGACTGATGTTGAAGCTGAAACTCCAATACTTTGGCCACCTGATGTGAAGAGCTGACTCATTTGAAAAGACCCTGATGCTGGGAAATATTGAGGGCAGGAGGAGAAGGGGACAACAGAGGATGAGATGGTTGGATGGCATCACCGACTCGATGGACATTGCTTTGGGTGGACTCCAGGAGTTGGTGATGGACAGGGAGGCCTGGCATGCTGCAGTTCATGGGTTTGCAAAGAGTCAGATACGACTGAGCAACTGACCTGAACAGAACTGAAAGTGTGAAATGTAATATACAGATAGAAATGTCATGAGATGTATTAACAAATAGTTATAAAGTGAACACTCATGTAACTTATCACTGCTCAGCTCAAGAAATAGAACATTAACAATATCTAGAAGCTCCTGTTGTTGTTGTCCAGGCACTAAGTTGTGTCCGACTCTTTGTGACCCCCATGGACTGTAGTATGCCAGGCATTCTGTCCTTCATTATCTCCCAGAGTTTGTTCAAACTCGTGTCCAGTGAGTAGGTGATGCCATCCAACCCATCTGTCGCCCCCTTCTTCTCCTGCTCTCAATCTTTCCCAGCACCAGGGTCTTTTGCAATGAGTCAGCTCTTCACATCAGGTGGCCCAAGTATTGGAGCTTCAGCTTCAGCATCAGTCCTTCCAGTGAATATTCAGGGTTGATTTTCCTTAGGATTGATTCGATGGACATGAGTTTGAGCAAGCTCCGGGAGTTGGTCATGGACAGGGAAGCCTGGCGTGCTGCAGTCCATGGGGTCGAAAAGAGTCGGACATGACTGAGTGACTGAACTGAATTGATCCCAGGGTTAATGGTGACCTCCAAGAGGGCTTATGCCAGGGAGAACCTTCCAGGACTGCTGCTGCCAGTGCCCCCTCCCTGTGGTGAGCCTCTGCCAACCCAAGCCTCAACAGGAGACCCTCCAACACTAGCACGGAGTTTTGGTTCAGTCTCCTGTGTGGTCACTGCTCCTTTTCTCTGGGTCTTGGTGCATGCAAGATTTTGTTTGTGCCCTCCAAGAGTGGAGTCTCTGTTTCCTCCATCCTGTGGAAGTCCTATAATAAAATCCTGCTGGCCTTCAAGGTCACATTCCCTGAAGATTCCTAGTCCCTTTGTTAAATACCCAGGCTGGGAAGCCTGACGTGGCGTTCAGAATCTTCACAACAGTGGGAGAACTTCTTTGGTGTTACTGTTCTCTAGTTTGTGGGTCACCCACCAGTGGGTATGGGACTTGATTTTATCATGATTGTGTCCCTCCTACTGTCTCACTGCAGCTTCTTCTTTGTCTTTGGATGTGTGGTATCTTGTTTGGTGGGTTCCAGCATTCTCCTGTTGGTGGTTGTTCAGTAGCTAATTGTGATTTTGGTGCTCTCGTAGGATGAGATGAGCGCACGTCCTACTCCACCATCTTGAATCAGCAGCCTACTCCTTTCCCAATTTTGAACCAGTCTGTTGTTCCATGTCTGGTTCTAACTGTTGCTTCTTGACTGGCATACAGGTTTCTTAGGAAACAGGCAAGGTAGTCTGGTATTCCCATTTCTCTAAGAATTTTCCGCAGCCTTTAAAAAAAATAATAAATCACATACTTGTCATAAAGAATGTTCTACTTGGTGTCGAAACAGTTGGCAATGGTTTGGTACATTTCTCACCCATATTTAACTGTCCTAGTCACTGAACCTAAACAAGTCTTTGACCCCTGGCTTGAATAAAAATACTTCTTTCCAACTTATTCTAGAATTTTTCTAGGGCCCACTTTCATTTTCTCGACAGACTTTATCTTTTTTATTATGAATATTTCAAACATAGAGAGTATTAGCATAAACACACATGCAATCATGATTGAATAATGAATATTCTACCATATGTTTAATCTATTCCATTTTTTTCTTTTGCTGGAGTATTTAAAAGCAAATCTCAGACATTGAATTGTACCCATATATACTTCAGTATGCATTTCTAAAAAGGAGATAATTTAATAAACCACTATTCCATTATTACACTTAAGCATAGCAATAATTCCTTGGAATGTCTAACAATAAGCAAGCCCACCATTACCCAATTGTCTTTATAATCAAATGTCTTTTTACAGTAGGCTTGTTCTATTCACAGCACATTGCACTGTTTGATGTGGCTCTTTAGTGTCCCTTAATCTGGAGCACTTTGCCTCTTAATCTCTCTTTGCACTTTTTTTGTCATGCCCTTGACTTATTGCAGTTGTGCTGTAGCACAACAAAAGGATCCTCAGCATTTTTGGAACCAGAGACCAGTTTTGTGGAAGACAATTTTTCATGGACTTCGAGGGGGTGGTGGTTTCAGGGTGATTTAAGCACATTACATTTACTGTGCACTTTATTTCTAATCTAATGTTGCTGCTGATTTGACAGGAGGTACGAGCCACAGCCTGGAGGTTGGAAATCGCTGCTGTAGAAGGACTCATCTTCTGAATTTGTCTTTTTGCTCCCTTGTGGTGTCATTTAACATGTTATCTACTTCCCATTATTCCTGGAGATGGTCTTAGCTCTGAGGACTCTATTGCATTCAGGTTATTAAGAACACTTCATAGGTGGTGCTGTGAGATTCCTATTTCATCATACCAGGAGGCATATAATATATGGTGGTCCTGCTTTTAATGATGTTAAGATTCATCAGTGAGTTAAGGTGGTAATAGTGACTTAGCAGCAGCAGCAGCCTGATACCTCCCTAGGAAATTTCCCCATCAACCTTTCATTTAATGATTTCATCTATTTAATATTTCATCTACTGCTCTTCCCAGGTGGTGCAGTGGTTAAGAATCCACCTGCCAATGCAGGAGATGCAAGAGACGCCAGAGATACAGATTCATTCCCTGGGTCAGGAAGATCCCCTGGAGTAGGAAATGGCAATTCACTCCAATATTCTTGTCTGGAGAATCCCATGGACAGAGGATCCTGGCGGGCTACAGTCCATGGGGGTGAAAAGAGTTGGACATGACTGAGCACACACATTGATGATGGTTGCCTGGTTCAGTTATTTTATTAAGATTTTCAGAGTGGCCATTTTTCTAAAATTCTATCACTTTTCTATATTTATTGACTGGCATTTTTATATAAGTGAAAAGTATCCTTCATTAACTCAGGCTATTGGATTGCACAAAATACAATTAATACAGGAAAGATAACATAAAGATGTAATTCTGTCATTAAGGAATACTAATTTTAGAGCAAGGGGTTGATGCCCTATTGTATCATACTGATATTTCCAATTCAAAATGAATAGTCCAAGCTGTTTATGCAATTTTAAAATTTTGCACTTCAAAAGTGGCACTTTTATATGGAAGATCTTGGTTCCTAACAACATTTATATAATGGCTTTTTTGCAGTAAAGTAACAAAACCAGTATTTCTACCAGCAATTAGACTCCTGAAAGAAGTCTAAACTTTCTTAGCAGCTCTATATGTCCTTGGAATATATTCCGTTAAGGGCATGCATTCAAAACACGGTGTTCCAAAGTTGTTGGAAATAATATATTGTCTTTGGAAGCTATGTCATGAATGTGATATAGTGAGATTTTTTTCAGTTCCATTTGTTTTCAATTTTTAGGGATTAAATTTTAATCAAATTTCAATTTTTGAATATGTAAAACATTTTTATGTTTTCAGTATATAGTCTAAACTACATAACTTCCATCCTGTCCCTGCACCCTGTTATGCCCTGCCTATCATAAGTCACTTTTTAAAAATGAGTTTTTGGTTTATCCTTCCAGTGTTGCTCTTTGAAAATATAAGTATTAATATCTACCTATATGCTTATATATGTATATCTATATATACTTATATATCATACTTTGCATTCCCCACTTTCTTATGCAAAGATAGTGACTGGATATGCTTTTTACACCTTATGCAAGTTTCTACTGGGTACTTGTTATAGTCTCAGCACAGTGCTGAGGTACTCAGGCAAGAGTGATCCCACCATGTTCTAGTGTATTTTTTTCAGTATTACAGTTAATTAGACTTGCTGCTCTTATCTCTGTCTCTCAGGAGACAGTGCTCCTGGGTGCTGCCTCAGTGCTACTTATTTATGTCCCAGTATCTTGCAGCAAGCACTGACAGTGACAAACACGTGTCCCTTGGCATATCAAAAGAATAAACATATTTTTAATTATACAAGTGATGCATGGGAACATGCACACTGTGAGACAAACAACACAGCAGTACATGGAATAACAAGCCATGGTTTTCCCTCACACTCACATCCCACTGTACTTGGCTGAAACAATTATTCCTATGGTGGCTGCCAAATGGTGATTTTCTAATTCTATTATTATTCCTTCTGCATTTGTTAGTTCATATTCTACAATAAGGAAGAGCTCTCTCTCTCTTTTTCTTCCTTTCTTCCTTCTTTGTTCATTCATTTAGTTTTGTCATATGGATTTGTGGATTCTTATTTTATTCGATGCATTATAAACTGCTACATTCATTATTTATTTTGATGCCCAAATTGTCCCAGAATTTGACAAGGAGAATCCTTTCAAGCTTACTTTTGTGTCCTTTTGATATGTCCATTATCCTTTGAACATTCCCTTACTTTCTGGAACATCAAGCCATTCTAGGCTCATCTTATACTTGTTCTGCCCCAGCTCTGGAATCAGCCATTTCCTCAAGAAACCAGTCTTGTTCCTTTTGGAAGAGATACCAAAATATGGGCATGAAGTGTGCCAATTGTTGCAACTAGGAGTCATTGCTTACAGTCCATCTCAGTGGACAGAGCTGGTGTGTATGTATATATTCCTAAACATACATACACACATTATCTATCATCTATCAACCATATGTCTATATCTATCTATCTATGAAATCTCTGTATCATTTTAAAATCATTAATTCATACTGGCACTCCAATTGTAATCTCAAACCACAAGATTCATTCTAGCTGTACCCCCTTTCCATATTTCTAACTCCTTTCTTGGACAGTGAGAAATCTGGTTCTCAGTATCCACAATATATTTACTTATTTGTTCAATCCTAGGATATGCATATAGTTGTTTTAGAACTGCCAAGTCACTACTGTGGAAAATAAAGCTGCTAACTAGTACTTAATATTTGTTTACAGTTTTTTGTTTGTTTGTTTCCCCCTTTGTTGTACTTTCGTTATTCATTTGAA